GGGGGGGCTTTAGGGCTGGAATGTTTACAGTGCTGAGTTAACAAACAGGATGAACAGTATTGAGGACACAACTGGACATTTGAAAACAAACACCGGAGAGAGTAGAGGTGTTGCTGGAGCGCATGTTGAGGATTAAAGACACCTGAGGTACACCATGATTGTTGTAAGTGCTAACTCGATTCTTGCAGACAAATTGAATTAAACCATGACACAGAAGGAAAAGCCAAAAAACGCTAGAAACATGCGGTAGTCCTGGTTTTAAATATAGCATTTCTTTCTGGAACTTTGGCATTTATCTAATATGTTTTCCTCAGTCTATAAGCAGGTGCAAACATTGAATTCTTAATCCAGCCATCTCTGATCTCGTCTTTCATACATACAAAGGTGTGAAACATTGGGCGTCTCAGATATTGCACTACACAAGTTCTGCCCCACATCACAGCCTGAGCTTTCACTAAAGGGGAAAAGCAACAGCAGCTTTCTGGCAAAGGCACAGTCATTCTCCCTTAGAATAAAAACAATATCAGCAAATAGAGGGGACTGATAGTCAAAATAGTTATTGTTACCGTTGCTTTCCTTTATCAGAGATAAAACAGAGAGGTGATGAGGGATTTGTTTAGACTTGGGCACATAGAGGCAGGAAGATCAACCGTACTTTTGCCAAAAACATCCTTGTTTTTGTTCCCCTTATAAACACTTAAAAGATGTCAGTCTTGATCAAGATGATAGAACTACATGTAGAGAACTACAAAACCATTGCCAAAATGTTCCTTTGGTAGACGAAGCTGACCTATTGCGGTCGTGTTCATGAGGACATTTGGTTGCATTTAGGCATTTCTCTTCTTTAAGGAAAGGAAACTACACTGAGAAGAAGGGCAGATAAGACAGGTCTTATCCACACGTTACGCATACGTTCACTGAAGGTACATCTTAAACAACTGCTAAAGTTAGTGTTAAAGCAAGGTTAGAAAACAGACAAGTCCTGGCAACATATTTCCCTAAAGCATCCCGTCGCTAAAGGAAGTGAAGCTTCAGGTGTTGAAACCAAATTACAGAACATTTTTGGTGTGTGTCAAAACGACTGCTCACTGTTTATGGGATATTTTGTGTTTTTTGAGAGGAGAGACAACAGTTAACTGAAACTGATCTACAAAGGCTGATCTCAAGACGGACACACTGAGATAAACCAACGGGTCACTAAGAAAATCAGCTGTAACCACTTCATCTTTTGGATTCCTTTAAATAAAAATGTAGTATGTCAGCTCTTGACAATAAAATGCACACCTGAGCTGAAAGCAAACCTCCCTCACAAAGTCTCTCACTGAAACAACTTTTATTAAAACGTGTATAAAAATATCGTGTTTATCCGCCTGCTGCCGTTTTGAACTTGTACATAAAAATACTAGGAAAAATATTTAATGCTATGAGTGTAAAAAATAGAGTTGGAAACTTGCCCAAGAATCAAGATTTGCCTTAGAAAGTTGTAAGAAAATAAATGTTAAAATCGACAGAGGCACTATCACAGGAGCTGCATCGCGTTAGCCTGCTTTAAGACTTTAAGGTGAGATTCATGTTAGCATGTTAGCTGAGATAATATCTGACCTGCAGTCTGTTTCATTTGTTCTGAATATGGGACTAATCTGATAGAAATGGGCTCTGATGGTGGAGGATTAACTCTCTGTTTTGATCTTGCGGAGTGTTTCCCCCTTTCCTGCTCTGGAGTGAAGCTTTTCAAGTTGATGTTTTATTTGGGGCGCATTTTTCAGCTTTTTCCAAATAAAAAAGATACCTTGGGAGTGCCAAGACTCATTTTGGAGGGGCAGAATACCTATTGAGCCTCATTACTAATTCGTAACACTTTTAATTAAATATAATTTGAGTAAGAGTGGAGGATGTGTTGCCAAATAATATACTACAATATTATGATGATATTACACATCGAGTTGCCGTCAGGAGAAAAGATAAGGAACAGAGATGGATTACTCTTCTCCTGATGGCTCCTCTCCCACCACTGTACAAATGAAATATATTAAAAGTGTTTAAATTCATCAAATTAATACAGGGTTATAGAAAAAAATATATAAATTATATTATTGTATTTATATCATTAAATGTACTTTTTGTGGCAGAACTTATCTCTGTGAGACCATGTGACACTTTGTGCTTACTCAGAAGATAATGCTGCGTACACAAGGCCTCGGTGCTGGACATGTAACATGTGACACTACAGATGGTATTTTGGCAAACCTAGCAGTGAGTATTGGGACAGACTCCAGATCAGTGCTGATGGACACCTCGACTCCTCCCACATGAACAGAGCACACACAATAAAAGCAGTGCTGATGAAAGTTGATGTAGAATAATTCCTGGTTCTGTCTCTGCGACGGGCTGAAGTGATGGAAGCATTTCAAAGTAACAGCTTCCCACCTGACTTTTCCCCTTTTTAATGTCTTTTTTATTTTTTTCTATAAAATAATCTGTGTATACAAAATACACATTGTTGTCAAAGTGCACTGAAAGCGTTGTGCACTTAAATATGAAATAATGCACAAAAGGAGGAATATCTAATATAACATGTAGGCACTCTGAAATGAGAGTGCTTTCTCATTTATGTGTGTGGAATGAGCTGGGGGACAGCTGCACATGCCCCCCCCCCCCACCTCCACTCTCACACTGAACCTCAACATCAAGAAAACGAGAATAGTCATCATACTCAGCACTTTTATAAAACTCCCAAAAATACATTCACTGTGGACACTGGGTGGAGGCTGCGAGGGTCGGTCACTGGTAAGCACACTGCCAGCACAGACCGTGTGTGTGTGTGTGTGTGTGTGTGTGTGTGTGTGTGTGTGTGTGTGTGTGTGTGTGTGTGTGTGTGTTGACATCAGACAAAGTCTAGACGCTCAGCAAAGAGTCTGCTGTGATCATGTTAGCATCCTGCGCTCTCTGAGAGTCTCACACAGACATGTGCAGCCGGGTGAGGGGGGGTCAGATGTGTGTATCAGGGTTTCCGTTAGCCGGTAGTTACCGGTTTTTAGCTGGTATTTAAAAACGGTAAATTCAAAACCTGCCAGTCAAAATGTAATAATAATCTGTCGTGGCGGCGGAGCTGTTGGCGGTTGTCAGAGCAACATGTACTGGTTGTCTATCGCCCTCTTGCGCCCCCGCTCTGGCTCCAGCTCGTAGTCTGAGTCCCGCTGAGGGAGGTGGGGGTGGCGGAGCAGGGGTCTCCTCCCCACAGATTCACTCTGGAGAAGCGGAACCGGGGTTGACGGAGGAGGGTCCGGGGCGGGGTTGATGCGGGTGGAGGGGCGGCCCGGGGGCTGGGCGGCGGCCCGGGGACTGGGGGAGCAGGAGGAGCGTGGCTGGCTGCAGTGAGCCAGGCTGGGCTCGGAGCTCCAGCGGTGCAGAGAGAACGGGACCAGGAGGGCGCCCGAGAGCTGGCCTGAGGGAGAACACAGAGAGGGAAAGACATTTTAAAAACACACCTGGAAGAGAAAGGCAAGGTGGCTACAGCTAGTCATTTGTTAGTTTTGTATTAACTTGTTGTCATTTTGAAGAGTTTTGTGGTGAGTTAACTTTATTGTGTTTTCACATTGGGACGCCTTGTGACGCCTTTAATACAGAGCAATGTATACTTGTTTCACCAATGTGAACAGTTCCAACAAAGACTTCAAATGATGTCATTTTGCTTTTGGGTCAGAAAACGTGGCAGCATTTCACAACCAAAAACAAAACGTACAGAGAACAAATGTGTAACGAGGTAAACCATGTTTTTATCCCCTCTGCATGTAGCACCCTCTCTACATGTATCCTGTGAGCCAGAAGAGGAGTCCCTCCCCTCAGGTTGGGTACAAGTGGTTTGGATAATCTGGCAACATTTGATTTTAAACCTGGATTGTTTCCTACCCTACTGAACTTTGTTGTCGCCAAGTGACCATGTTACAACATCCCGGCAGTAACTTCTGTACATGCAATGTTGTCCCATAAACAATAGAACCCAAGTTGTTTTAAACATGTTGATGTAAACATAAAAACTCATTCATATCTCTCTGAAAAAGTTGTGATATCTGAGAGGATGGGGGTCTCACCCTGTGACGGGGGGCTGGAGCCCGCCACCACGAAGCTGGACAGAGTGACGGCGCCGGCGGCTCCGCACTCCAGCGGGATGGGGAAGAGAAGGAAGTGACTGAGCATGTCCATCACAGAGGGGAAGCGCAGGTGCTGGACCCTGCACTGACCCCACTCTGTCAGGGAGAGGCGCAGGTGCTGCAGGGACACAGACGTGAGGAAGGGAAGACATCAAGAAAAGATACATTTCACACTGTTTTTATTCTGAGAATGAGCTTAAAGGTCACGTATTATGCAAAATCCACCTTGTCATGTCTTTTCTACATCAACATGTGTCCCCTCTGTGTAAAGAGATTCTGAAAGTTTCAGGAAAAAAGATTCTCTCTCTTTTTGTTCTGATCCATTTATATAAAAACCTGTCTGAAAATGAGCTGATCAGATTTTGGCCACTTCATGATGTCATAGCGATTTCTTTTGGTTGTGTAACCATTAGCCAATCACCTACCCCCTTATCACCTGAAACCCCTCCTAGAGAGCACCATTGTGTTCTTTTTAACCAAATATCTCTCAGAGGGGCGTGGGGAGTGGCTCCTTATTTTCATCTAAAGTAACACACAGAGAATCAGCACTTTTGAAACAGGGCTGAAACAGAGGGGTTTATGGGTAATGCTACAATGATCTGTTTGGTATTTGGAGCCAAACACTTCAGAGACATGTTTTGTATATATCTGAGACCTATAACATATTGATGAAAAACAGTATAACAGGGGACCGTTAAGGTCTTTACTATTAGAGGTACGTCTGCATAAGGCTTCCTCATGTAAGCATTTACCAGTGTTAGGAAATGAGGTGGTTACTAGTTTGACGCATTCAGGGCAAAAAAAAAGGAACAATGTGGGTTTGGGTTTATATTGCTACATTTTATCGGTGAACCACCTCGGCTGAGAGCCTCAGTGAGACGTACCTTGGCCTTCCCCTGGTAGTTGAAGGTGAGGACGTAGTCTCCTCTCCGTGTCTCGCTCTGACGGACCAGAAACACCCCGTGACCCTCCGGGCCGGAGCTCTGCACCAGGTGGGCCGCCTTGACCCTGGAGATGGGCCCGTGGAACCATGGGTAGGAGAACAGGAAATGGTCGGCCTTCTGCACGACCTGCTCAGGAGAGGAGAAAGTGACGGGGCCTGGAGGACGGAACAGAGAAACAAATGGTTAAATTGTTTATTTATCATAAAGCTGGACCACTCTATTAATATAAGAAAATAATCAAATGATTACTATCTGTAATGTGAAAGATTTCCTTGGTGTTGACAAACCTACAATGAATCCTTACCCACTCTAACTCAGCAGGGTTATTTTTATTAAATGTGATGGCCCACATCGCAACAGTTTCATTTCAGTCCCTCAGCTCTAATCGGGGTTGTTGTCAGCCGCAGCAGGCAGCTGCTCCAAGTAAATAAGCTATAAAAACCTTCTGTGCACTTCCTGCTCGCACCAAGCGGCAAATGGAGAAAGTTAGTGACATGTGGAGCGGCTAAAGAGCTCGATTTCCCTCAGGAGATGTTAAAGAAGCTAAAGGGAGAGTGCTGGACTAAAAACTCTAAAAATAAAAATGCTGCATTGATTTGGAATCACTGGGTGGTCAAATGAAGCTGTTGAATAACTGAAACTGGAATCAGCTGCTGATACAATCAATTAAAGTAAGAATGGAGGTATTCAAAATGACATATTTCATTGTCCATCCACCACTCACTTTGACTCCCTAGCTCTGAGCTCCCTCTGTGACTGGCTGGAGCCGAGCTGTCTGCTGGGGGGGGGAGAGGCTCCAGATCCACACTGCCTGACCTGAGGACAGACACAGATTCAGATTACACACACTGCATCAACACATGTTGTTCTCATTGTGGACCACCTGGGGGGGGAAATAGGTCACTTTCATGATTATTTCATTTTAAGACATCGTTTCCCATCTGGGTTTCACCATCTGTCTTATAAGAGCGCTGCAGCTCTGTCTGTGCTGGGAGATCAGTGTCTTCTTTCAGAAGTGTGGTGAAAACACATTCAAGTTGAATAGGCTGCACTTAGCGTCTGTAATTACACCAGTGTCTCCCAAAAATATATGTGTTGACGTTTTATTGATGTCAACATGCCACATATCACTTTCCAGTAGGATGAGGGAAAGCAATAGATATGGGTAGGAAATTAAAGAGAGGTGTGTGTGCGAGGTGTGTGTGTGTGTGCATGCTGGTGTGTGGGGAGGGTTTAGTGAACATGGAAGAAACAGCAGGCTGAAGTAACACAAAGTCACCAGGCACAGACAGGAAGTGAGGCCAGTTCACATCTGAACTAAGACTTACTGTTCTTCTGTTTCACCACACACACACACACACACACACACACACACACACACACACACACACACACACACACACACACACACACACAGGAAGGTTAAAGAGGGAAGCCTGAGCAGATCCTGCTAAAATGCTGACTTGAGCTTGCTCTGAATAACAGGAAGACGTGCCTCCTTTCTCCTCACTCTTGTGGGGTCTTGTTCTTCTATCTTTGTGAGAATCAGCTCATGTTTTATTATTATTGCAAAGTGAGGAGATTTTGCAGAGAGTGGACATCTCAGCCAGTCAGCAATGCTACACCTCCCACATCCGGTACACACTGACTCTCTTGGTTTATAGCCTCGATTTGGGACGAGGGCGTACGCGTTTTGGACAAAAGGCCGTTTTTCCACGGCCAAAGTGGGTGACAGGAAAAGCACAGGTGTTACTTATAATGATGGCTCTGTTCTATTCAAGGTTCCCAGTGAGCCATAGCAGCACACACAATATGAGGACCCTGAAACAGAAACACCTGTATGTGCTTTTCCTGCTGGGACATGCGCTGAGAAAGGCCTACCGTTTCTCCAAGGGCATTCAGGGTGTTGCACCCAGTTGTACGCGCACAGTGTGATGTAAGTAAGTGTGTGAAGAATGAAAAAGAGGATTGACTGCACACCTGGTACATCCCTGTGTAAAGTGGCCATTGTGTGAGCGTTGTTTGAAAAGATGTCTACAGACAGGCTCCAAACCAACACAAGAGAGGGCTGCGTTTTTTTACTCAAAATTGTCCTGACTGCGGACTTAAATGATTTTGACAAGCATTCAGTTTAATGAAGTTAAAAGACTAGTTGGAATGTGACAGTTCCTATGCGGACAAAGGATGCATGATAATCAGTACAAAAGTGGGTTGAAAGAGACTTTGGGGGATAGAGTTTTAAAGGTCAGATTTCTTCTCCGAATTCACATTCACATCAGATTAGAAGATTAAAAACGACACATATGTGGCCCTATATTAGGTTATTACAGATGTATTGGTATTAGGGTACATGCCGGCTGAGAAGTGTTCCCATACAAAAATGCCAAACTAGGGTTGAGGTAATTTTGTAAAATGTCTCAAAAACAAAGTTTGTTCATCAAAGAATCTCCCGTTCAGGATGAAAGAAACACATGTATCAATAAGCATAATGTTATGTAATCATGTGAAATGCATTATTGGCTGGTCTAACGCACACACTTGAATACATTCCTGCACATGTTTACTTTGTGAAGTATCTGAACAAACAGTGAATTCCAGAGTGAACTCTGACTTCACCTCCACACTTGATGAGTGTTCACTTACTGTACCGCTGACTACTGACTGTGTGTGTGTGTATGTGTATGTGTATGTGTGTGTGTGTGTGTGTGTGTGTGTGTGTGTGTGTGTGTGTGTGTGTGTGTGTGTGTGTGTGTGTGTGTGTGACGTGTGCGTGTGTGTAAGAGCATTACAGACATCTGCAGAAATGAGAAAGGTCCTGAGATTCTCCCAAGTCTCAGACCTCCCCCACACTTCCTTTCACAGACACACACACAATCACGCACGCAAAACACACAGACAGACGAGTATCCTCTGAAACAGAAGGTCACATTTTTGGGGTTGAATCCTAATTTCTTCTGATAAAAGATAGATTTTGTCACACTGAAAAGAATAGTATTCGTGCAGTATGCCTCTGTACAACAGCATTAATGATAATCCCTAAACAAAGATATTTGCCCCAAATTCTTAATTTATGGCTCCTTTGAAAAAACATCTCAACCTTGAATTTCTACATTTCTTAATGTTAACTTCTTTCCTGACTTTAAAAGTCATGTTCAACAACTTTAGTTGATTGCACAACGTTGATCATAATACTCCCCCAGAAGATGTGTTAGCTCTCACAGGCTGAGTGTAAATATTAAGTTGACTGCTGAGTTTGATGAATTATTATTTCCAGGAATATTTACAAGACTCAAAGTTGCTCCAGTCTGTCAATCCCAAAAGCTCACACACAACGCTGAATCTTTTTTCTGCTAACACAAGTGACCTCAATTATTATTTCATGACTAACATTTCGGTCGGAAAAAGTGATGTAATAAAACCTCTAATTTGTGGTTACAAAATGAGTTGGAACTTGAGTCATGAGTTCGGCTCACACTGATCAAAAAAGTTGAAATATTCAAAATGGAGAAAATCAGCTTCAGGTAATAACAAGTATTGAAGTCCTTGTTTTGTTAAGTGTGTCTCACCTGTTGCTGATACATTCTTTTAGCTCTGTGGTCCAGGAGCTGACCAGCTGGTCGTTGTCCGTCTCGAAAATCAGACTACCTCGATTAACCTGGTAAGGCAAAGAAGCTTTCAAACATACCATCCATATTACACAGACACCGAAGTTCAAGAAATGGCCGAGAGACGCATAAAAAGGCAGCAGGCTTCATATTGCTTTTTTTGATTACGCAAAAGTAGCCAGGTATTTTTATTTACCCATTTCCTTTAATAGAAGGCTCATTTGTTTTCAGCAAAAGTCCGGCTACTAACATGGGGGGAAAGTAAGCACACTTTCCATTATTGATGTGTAAAACTACGATCAAAACCAAGGTGGAAAGATGCCGTCCCGCCCACCCATTCTCAGTGGTTAAATTACCCAATGTGTCTTACACTAAAAAAACTCCGTTACTCAGTCTGCGGCTCAAGTAGTACGTTCCATGAGGTCTGGGGACCATTCCTAAACACTTTCAGAAGTCATGCTGATGGTGTACTCCTGTAGAATTCTGACTGTACTGTCTAGTATTATTATCACTGTCATTATTAACATTACTACCACTATGTGTATTCATATATTTATTTTCTTTTTGTTTCTTTTTCCATTATTCTGTCTTTTGTCCCAGACTCCCAGCTACTCTCTTTTCTACTCCAGAAATGTCATGTACATGTTTTCAGATCTTGGGGAAGGGATGAATGTGTAAATGTGTAATGTTTGATTGTCTTAAAAAATCTAACAAAAGTATTTCTGAGAAAAAAACTGCTATCAAATACTTACTGTTTCTCTGTAAAGTAGATTACACATTTCTTACAGGCATTTTTTGTGGCTATACTGTATTTTGGTGATACAATGGAGGATGTGGATGGATGTCTGAGTAGTGATGGGCGATGTAACAAGTGTTCTGTGGATGTTTTGAGTTTTCCCCCTCATGTAAACACTTGCTGTGACTTTGAACCCACAAGGTGGTGAGTGTTTAAACTCAAGAGACAAGGTTTGGGAGGAGAATAAACCAACAAAGTCTAAATGAAGACCGTTTAGTGAGTTTTGTTATGAAATGATATGACACAAAGATTGTCCTGTTTCCTCTTCATGTTGAATTGAGGGTTGGAGTTCAAAGCAAATGTGTATGTCAACAATACGGTGGGCGGAAGGAGTCCTTATTTATTTATTTGCTTTAAGTTAAAAGGCTGTACATACCTTTAAAACAAATGTGTTTAAGTTGTCAGGCATCTCCAGCCGGTTGCAACGACGGACTTCTTGGATATCTGAGCAGTGAGTCGTCAGCTTGGGACAGGAGGCCTGAAAACATCATGAAGAAAAGAGACAGTCAGAAATGCCCAACGCTACCTCATGGGACGACAGAGAACAAGGTACAGAAACAGAGAGAAGAAACTGAAACAAAGAAAAGTGTGAACCTTCTACACTCCAAAATTATACTCCAATAGTTAAATGTATTTTCAGAATGTGTGTGTGTGTGTGCGTGTGCGTGTGTGTGTGTGTGTGTTGAGGAACTGAGTCTTCAACCAGCCTCAGCTACTGAACAACGCATTTGACAGTTGTTTTAAAAGTGTGCCTATGCCACTGCAATGTAAGCATATATTCCTGCTACTACTACAGCTCTTCAAGTCAGTGGTAGACATGTTAACCTACAAAAGGGAACAAATGGGTTTGTCTTTAGTTAATCAAAAAGTTGGTTTTGTATTGAAAATTCAGAAATGACAGCCAAATATGGTTTGACCATTTAGGCAACCTACGTAGAATTAACTTAACATACCAAATCCAGAATTGTTCAACTGTTTATATCTGATATAATATTTTTCATTTTATTTGTACTTTACATTTTTAGTTGTTAATTCTCTATTCTAAGCACGCGACAGGCCAGTCTGCGAGGAAGAACAGCGAGGTGGGGGGTCAACGGTTTAAAGAAATGATCTAGAAAATGGGTCTCTGGATAAATATAATGGCAAATGGGATGCTGTTTCTAGAAAGTCAAATACACCTTCCATTATCTGGACGACAGATATTCCCTAACCTTGGCAAATATAAAACAAACTTTATAAACATGAACATAATAAGCTGCCTTAATTGAAATTTAGTGCAGTGAGTCAAACGCTCACATTTGTTGCTCGTTTATACATTAGTCATTTTTTTACTTAAATATCTAGCAAATCAACAATCAGGTGGCTTGTACTTGCGAGAAAACTAACTTCCTTGACGTAAGATAGATATAATGGAGTTGACTTCTGAGAAGGGTGTCAATGCAACACGTCTTATTTGATCAGTTAAGCTAAAGATACCACTAACAGCACAGGATGTGTACATCGTGTGTTTATGTGTGTCTGGACGTGTGAAGCCTGAAACTGAAGCCTCCCTCAGTGACAGAAAGGCAGTGAGTCGCCTGAAAGAAGAGCATGATGGGAGCTCTCATGGTTGAGCTATAAGGTCGACCCCGACAGGACAAAGTGGGTGAGATACGAGGGGCTTCATGGCGGCACACCGTTATGGGGAAATGATGCTGGGACAAAACCATCAGTGATCCTTACTTTTAAGCACTAATAAACAGACATGTGGGTACTTCACTTCAAACATGAATACCTGCAGCAAAGCTCGACAGGACGAGAGAGAGGGTGTGTGTGTGTGTGTCCATACAAGACACACACACACACACACACACACACACACACACACACACACCTATTATTATTAGTTTAAAACCAGAGTGTGTGTGTGTCATGTGTTAGCTTCCTGTGTAGATATAACGATCACTTCATTGACTTGGGGACTGAACAATATGAAATGTCTTCATAATTGTCCTGTGCAAAAAAGTTCACAAACGTATCTCTAGTTGTAGCTCTTCTTATGCATACAAATATGAAACTGTGTTTTTTTTTTTTTCAAGTAACCACCGAAAAGGAAATCAACCAAATTCATAAGAATAAAAGAAAAGTATGACTAAAAAACGTAAAATCCTTAAGACAATTGTATTATGTGGAGAGGTTTTAAATATTATCAACAAGCCCAGGATGGAGTCTCCTAAAATTATATTTGATCCACCAACAATTGGGAAAAAAGTAACCCTTCTCCAGCACACAGCGTGACACTAACAAGCTACATTGGATTAACATGAAACCCTATGGGGACAAACGAATATGCAAAAACATAAGAAAAAAGAAGAGGTGGAGGGGGGAGGGTGGCATGAGGGAGCGTGAGCAGCAAAAGGAAACAGACGAGACGGTGAAAGACTCGCCGTTGGTGGGAGAGGAGGGAGGGATGAGGAGGGAGGGATGAAGAGCAGAAGAAGGAGCGGGAGGACAGATTCCAGGGCTTTGTGCACCGGATGAGTTAGAGTCTATGTGACAGTGTGTGAGCCTGAGGAATGTCTATGATAATCCTACACACACGCACATAAACACAGGCACACACACTTCTAAAGAATAGATTAACCCCCACTGGACACATTTCTTCAGCTAGCCAGTGATGTGATCGAAGCAGCGACTCCAAAAGCTTCAGCCGCAGCGCGTAGTAATATCAATGAGAAGCAGCGTGACACAGATGAGCTGGATGTGACTCATTTACAAAAGGTCTGACTCAGGGAATCTGGAACTGACTCAAAGTTGGACTGGCCCAGGATGTTCAATTCTGCTTCTTCAGATTCAGGTTCAATCTGTCAGGTTTTCTTATAACTAGAAAGTCAGAAAGATGTAATCTATATGTTCTCAGAGGAAACGTGCACTCCAAAGACGTACGGAGTAAAACACGACCGCTGATATCGTACGAGATACTTTGCAAAAAAAATGATTGTAGATTTGTAAGAGACTCATAGTACACATGAATGATACAGAGGCTGCTAAGAGATTTAAAAACAAATCAATACAATAAATACAATATTTTAGGAGGTGCATCGTTTAATGGTTGCCTTGGAAACTGCTGACAAAACAATCTCACTTCAAGGTTGATCAAGACATCAGGGCATTATTTCGATTTTTTATTTAATTGCTGTTTGGATATGATAAGTGATATGTGGTGATGTGTGTGTGTGTCTATGAGATGGGGTGACTCATTGAGAGATATTTATTGAGATTGTGAATGAGTTTCTGACTAAGAGCATCTTTAAGGAACCATATGTGTCTGTCTGTGGGGGGGGGCAGCAGATGTCAGACTGGTTGAGCAACCCGCCTGCTCTCTGTGAATCCACTTCATCAAGAGAGCAAGTTCAAGCTCACAGCACATTTCCTATCACTGCACACTACAGTCACACACACACACTACAGTCACACACACACACTACAGTCACACACACACACTACAGTCACACACTACACACACACACACACACACACACACACACACACACACACACACACACACACACACACACACACACACACACACACACACACACACACCTAAACATAACTCCTTCAATATTATTTCCTTAAAAAACACCGCAAAAGATGTGGGAACACTTTGTGAGCATTCATCTTTGAAAGCATGATGAATATCAACCACAAAGAGACACAGAACAACCAAAGAGAACCAAAAGGACCACAAACTAAAGGCTTAAGATGACAACCTACAGAGACTCATAACGTTGTCTTTACTTCTACCCATTGTCCCATTGTCAAATCTGTCTAGGCTGTAGACTATTGGAGTTACAAATAGCAGCATTTCACTGATATTTTTTCATTTTGGATTCAATGTATGACTTTGAATAAACAATCTAACCAACAAAATGTAACTTTTATTAAAGCCAAGAACCAGGGCTTGAAATGTTCATTGCTGGTGTGCAGGTGTTTGGGAGACTGGTCTTACGAATAGAGTTTGAGTAGCCTCTGAAAACACAGCAAAACATTTAGGGAGGGTTTTTCAAAATGTCTTTAATTTTGTCATTTGCCAGCAGCCTTTGAGTCTAAAGGCTTAATGTTCCTCATCCGAGAAGTGGAACCAAACAAAGGTCACTGCATTATCACAGCTCCAGTATTTCAATAATAATGTATTCCGGACAATTGTTTCCATCAAGTGTCTCCTTCAGGGGGACTAAAAGCAAAGGCCACATGTGGAAATGTCTCACTGCATTATTGATGCTTTAGAGCTTTGACTGAGTGTAGATCCGTTTCAAGATGAATTTCACAGGAAGAACAAAGAGACACTGGAGTTTTATCAGAAACATATTTTTCAGATGTAAAAAGCAGGCATTGGAATCCTGACACTGTGTTTTAGCTTGTTTCTTTGTTTTCAGGACTTTTTACATGCAACTACTTCAGGTGTTATCAACCACAGCGTGTTGAAAAGCTATTTCCAGTAGAAACACGTGACATTAAACAAAGGTAAGTTCAAGAGTTTTAGTTTTATTTGTTGATCCATCGTTTGAGTTTCGATTTTCCTTGTTGCCAAATGAGGAAATATGATATGAAATATTCAGACCCAAAGTTCAAAATTCAACAATTTGTGTAGTCATTTCATCAAAAGGAAAGAAATAGATCCCGATCATTTTATACACATTCCTCCAAAAGAATATATTTATAAACACAATCAGATGTAAACATTCCCTACTGTAGTAATGTTGGAGGATAAATGGAATCAATATGAGACGGCCTATTTATTAAAAGATCAGCTTATAGTGAAAGTGTTGGTTGTAGCCCTATATTAGAAATTCTAAACCTTTAGCAGAGTTGCATCATCGACACACCTGATCCACAGTCTACTGATATACTTGTACGTTGTTTTGGCAGCTCAAATAAGAGTGTGTAACATGCTAAGCTGATGGTGATGTGTGTATTAACTATTCAGATTTCACTACTGGGGATTTTCAGGTTGAGTCAACTTTCACTACTATGTCTCAACCACACACACACACACGCACACACACACACACACACACAATGAAACACAGATACGCAACACTGACAACACAACGTAGATTTTCTCATTATATTGGATATACATATTTGTGCATAACTTCCCCAGCCAGGGATAACAGGTGAACATTATTGGCATCTGTTTTTGTAACACTATATCCACATTTATACCAATTGTAAAAAGTTACATTTAGAAATCAGATCTTTTTAATAATATTTTAAGGGTTTTAACGTTATTTGGCCGCGCCTGTTGTGCGAGGATCAGATGCTTTCCCGTTGTATATCAGTATAAATTAAAGAAATGTGGATTTTGTTATGAACTATGATAGTTTTCACAAGGTTTTGAGATTGTATAGACTAAACAACCAACAGATTATTCAGTTATGTTGATGATGATTAAATTGTTATTTAGTACATAACACACACAGTTTATGGAAGTAG